TGTCTAACTTTCGAAGCGTCATAAAAACTAATACGACTCCATATTATCACTTTGTGCAAAGCAATGCAAATTTCTTTAACGTCTCCCTAATAATTTAATTTTAACAATGGCGGTAAAAATATATAATATTACATAATATTATTATCTAATATATGAAAATAATATATGTTTGTTCGTATTTCATGTGTTGCCATACCGTTCATCAGATTACGCTAAAACTTTGTCAACTTATTGTTTGTACTTCCGCGAAGGTTATAGGAATAGTTGGTGTCAGTAGGCAGCGCTGTTGTAAAATCCAGACATCACCCGTGCGAAACCGGGGCATATCTTACAAAATTTAAATATTTTGTAAAAATAAAATGTAATATTAATATTTTATTTTATTTTTAGTAATGGCGGTCAATCCATCGTAGTTTTTTTCTTGGATAAGTTGTATAGTTGTACTTTTGCCAGTGTGAAGCAATAGTAAATTATCCTGTACTAGCAATCCGACCCGGCTTTGCACGGGTTATTTCTGGATCTTGAAAACAGCGCCACCCTTCGCGTCAAATTGTGAATATAAGCCATCCGGGCACCCACTCAAATGCATGCGCGCGAAAAATTTGATCAGAATTGGTCAAGCCAGTTTCGAGTTTTAGCGAGATTAACGGGAAGGGACGCCCTAGACGAAGGTTTATCGACCAAATTGGTGATATTTTGTAAATGAGCTACATTAGGAGCACCCTTAACCGACGAGCGTGTATGCGTAGATATACGTTTGTTTTAGTGGTTTTTGTTTTATAGGATGGGGTGACAAACGAGCACACAGTCCACCTGATGGTAAGTGGTTTCAGTGGCCCATAGACATCTATATCTATCCTCGATTACGAATGAAAATGCAGATGCGTTATCACCCGTGAGGACCAAGATGGAATGCCTTTTGCAGTAAAAAGGGTCTCCGGTTCTCTACACTCACCATAGGAAACACAGCAGTATTAAGCTACTATTTTACGCTGGTATTCAGTGAGAGCGTAGTCCTTCCCCGGTCGAGCCGACCCATTCGTGCTACAACTATATTTCTCATATAACTGCAGCATGGCTCAAAGAAGGCGAAAGAGGTGTCAGGATCATGCCAAATGGAAGTCCGTAGTCCGTGCCTACCCCTCTGGATGACAGGCGTGAGTGTTTATGTTTATATGTATGTATAATCATTTGCTCAAAAATATCACACAATATGTTTATGCCCTACATTGAGGAGGACTGCTTAAGCCGGCAGACAGTTGGTGACGACCTTATTTCAAGTTGTTTCAACCAACAGTTCACATGCGCAGATACTTAATATATAGAATCAAATCACTTTTACATAATATGTAAATAACTTCAAGCCATTAATTAATTATTTAAAGATTTAAACAGGAGCAAAAATCCGCCGGCGGTCAAGTTCTCGCCAAAGCTCCCAAATCCATCAGTTTCTTGCAGAATAAATGCATTCCAAATATGAATAAAAAACCGAACAATAAAACTTTTGCACTGTAACAGATTTTACGACCTATTTTATGAGACCTTTAGTTATATGGCATGAATTTATGTTATATTTAGTAAGATTGTGAACTGTCCTTGGATGTCATCAAGAGAAATGAGAAAATTATAATATTATTAAGAGGAAAATAGACAATTTAAATAAATCTTGAATTCTTTAATGATTACAATTTCAATATAATTTTTCTTAATAAATAAGACATAAACAAAGTTGGATGGCTTATACAAATGACTTTTGGAACTTGTGTATGATTTGTATTATTGGTTTGCCAGTAAAACGGCGACAGTCTCAATACTTCTCATATTCAAGAATCATGGTGGTCCAAAGCTCAATTTTATGATATTAAACAATATATTTATGCTTTTTTCTATTTAATTTCTAAGCATATAGTTAAATACTTCTTTTATTAATAGTTATTATTTCATTGCTAAATATTTTATTAATAACAATAAAAACCAACATGAAACTACAATACCGGTAGTGTATGAATATCCACTACCTCAGATCGTACCTTGGGTGTCATAAGACACGAGGCAAAGGGAAACTGAAACAAATGGGCAGCAGCATCTTGATAACAACTAACATTTTTAAAAACTGCAGTCGACAACCCGCCTGCCAAGTGTGGCAACTATGGCAAAATCGCTCAATGAGGCAATCTATGTGGGAGGCCAATGTTCAGCAGTGGACTTTTATAGACTATAATGGATGGATGGATGGACGGAACCAAAAAAGATATTTTTTTTATAGGAGAGGGGGCAAACGAACATACGGTTCACCTGATGTTAAGTGACTAGCGCCGCCCGTGAACAACCGCAACACCAGGGGCATTGCAGGCGCGTTGCCGGCCTTTTAGAATAAGTAAGCTCTTTTCTTGAAGGTCGCTAAGTCGTATCGGTATTTATATTGATTACTATTGATATAAGATCTTCTTTTATAAAAGTAATGTGACAAACAAACACACAGTCCATCTGATGGAAAGTGGCTAATACAATCCATGGACAGCGAACTACATAGAAGGCTATCTGAGGTCTAAATATGGAATGCATCACAACCCTCAATTATTAATAAGATCTTCTTTTATAAAAGTAATGTGACAAACAAACACACAGTCCATCTGATGGAAAGTGGCTAATACAATCCATGGACAGCGAACTACATAGAAGGCTATCTGAGATCTAATCATGGAATGCGCCACAATCCTTAATTTTACTTACTCTCTTATACTCTTCAGACCAGAACACAGCAGTTAAGCATTCTTGTTTGGTGGCAGAAACAGATTAGAGAGATGTATCTACCCAGATGGACTCCATTTTTGGCTACCTATTACCGAGTAGAGCGCTGCATAAGCTTTCCGATCTTATAAACCAATAATAGGAAAAGCTATGTCCAGCAATGATATTTAAAAGGTAGATATGCTGCGCACTCTTTTTTTTTTAATATATATATTGCAATTAGTTTATTAAAGTATTAATGTGTGTGTAATTAACTCACATTGACTCAACATTATCAGATGGTCCTTGAATTTGTCCTTGAACTGTTCCTTTTGATGTGTTCATGCACCAGCCTCTAAGACCTAATTTGTCTGCTTGTTGTTTTGTATACTGTAAAAAATTAAAAATTTTAGCATAATTGTCATCATTGCAATGTCTCAAAGTACACTATACAACATAGGTTCCCCCGTAGATTGCCTCATAAAGGTGGTATTTGCCATTGTTGCCACACATGGCAAGCAGTTGGTAACCATAGATTTTTATTTTTTAGTTATTATTATGAGGAAGACACTGTTGCCTAACTTTCCTGTTTGTTTTCCTCTGTAACCTCTTACGAAATCCACAGGAGGATATGGGGTAGTGGATACTCTTAAACCGCCACTACACAGTATACTGCAATGTCATAACAACACAAGACAAGGTTGCAATTTTGCACAAAAAAGATCTCTTTATGTTTCATCTCACATTTTATAACACAACTGTGAGATAAAACAATAAGGTCTTTTCTGTGTAATAAACAGATCTTCAAGTTTTATATGAAATTGTAACCGCAACTAAGTGATAGTGTCTCTGTTAAATGTAGTTTTTGTGATCTAATTTTTGCAGCTTTTTTTATAGGAAAAGGGTGACAAGCAAGCACACAGTCCACCTGATGGTAAGTGGTTGCTGTGGCTCATAGACATCTACATTTATTCTTGATTAAGAATCAAAACGCAGATGCGTTGTCACCCCTGAGGACTAAGATGGAATGCCTCGTTTCCAGTAAAAAAGGGTCTTCTAATCTCTACACTCACCATACGAAACACAGCAGTATTAAGCTGCTATTTTACGCTGGTATTCTGTGAGAGCGTGGTCCTTCCCCGGTCGAGCCGACCCACTTGTGCTACAACTATACAATTAATATAACTGCAGCATGGCAATAAAAAGCTTAGTATATCTTCGTATTTTTGTTTAGATTGTAAATAACAGTTTTAAAATAACAATGCATGGATTTATCATCAGTCTGTAAAGAGTTGATTGTTGGCTTCTGCTAGTGCAGGATTCGTCATAATAGCCAGACTAATTTACAGTTGCATATCACAGTTCACAGCGCATGTCTCAATCGACACTATTTCTCGCCATCAGTTTCGGTAATACACTTTGGGTATGAATGTTTGAGGCGGTTATAGACAAAAAAACATTTTAACAAAAAATAACATTATAAATTTTCCGTTTTTCGAAGTCCATGAGATTTTTTGGCATTTTCTATAATCAACCCTCATGTAAAGGTGACGGATATTTTTATGTCAACACCGAATCACGCATTACATTACTTGCCTTTCGGAAGAAGACTCCTTGGACTCGCCCAAAAACTTCGAAGTCTACACTTTTAATAGCCATAGCTGCAACTGTTGTAGTCGTTCTATACTTTAAAGATGTTACAACAGTCGTTAAAATTAATAAACGAAACATTTAATATAAAATTAAAGAAAGTTCAAGCCTAGGATGTGACTTGTTTCGAGGTGTTTTGGTTTTTCATCTTTCAATTTTTCTTTTCCTTTTATATCATAACTGTTTACAGGGATAGTTATAAAATTATTGAGATGTGTATTAATAACTTTATTCCTAGCTATAAAGTTTATATATTGCTGAAATAATTATCATGTATCCAAAATAATAAAACAAAAATGATAATAAAATTGTACCATTATGTGCATCATAAAAATATATATAGGTACAAACATTTTTCAGAATCTTTCTTTACAAATGCATATTTAGCTAAGTTTCTTCGCACCGTTTCAGACATTTTGATTGGTCACGACCTTAGATGACATAACATGCTGCTGATATTTGTCACTTAGCTGTCACTGTCACAGTGTCAATTCTCTTTCCAGGAGCAGAAAGGGAAAAATAAAATAACCAATAATAGCACAGGTCTAATCTTATACATTTTATTAAAATAATAAATAATCATACTCATTCGAAAAAATCATAAAAGTAAAATCTTTACGATGGCTTTTTATTGTTGTGGCAGGTATGTGGTCATATTATGTAATGCAATTTAAGTTGTAACTTGTTTACTAATGTTAATGCTTATCTTTCAGACTAAGTTCTAAGCCAGTTTTGGCTAGTTTGGGAAGGTTACCTCTTACGTTGAATACTGCCCACTATGCACAAGCAGCTTCTGTGCCTAAAATTACGTTCAAAAAATTTGAACCACCTAAACCCGAACATTATGATGACAAAAATGCTCGCCTTAAGCGACCAATGTCTCCTCATCTTACTATATATTCACCCCAACTGACAAGTATGTTGTCCATTACGCATCGAGTTGCAGGTATAGTTATTTCACTAGTAATTGTAGATTAAGCTTCCAACATACAACATGTTATTAAATAATTACCGTCCTGTATTTAGGCAATTTGGAAAGATTTAATTTTTTGTTTTATACTGTTACAGTCTATTAAAGTCCATTGCTGAACATTGGCCTCTCCCATAGATTGTCTCAATGGGGGATTAATTTCAATTACCAACACAGTTATTTGCAATAACTATTTGCGATATCTGCCGCTCTTGGCAAGCAGATTGGTAACCATAGTTTTTTTAGTCATTATTATAAGATGCTGCTGCTCATCTGATTTGTTTCCCTCCTTCGCCTCTTATTACACTTATGGGATGATGGATGGGGTAATGGATAATCTTACTGTCGTTTTGTACAGATTAATTTAATTTAATAAAATATATTTTTTTTTATAAAACTGAAGTGATGATCAAAATCCACCTGTTGGTGACACTGCTGTCCATGGTCACCTGGAGACTTCAAAAAAGGAGGCTACAGATATGTTGTCACCCCTAAGGACTAAGATGGAATGCCCGTAATTATACTTTCTCCCTATACCCTTCAACCTTTCAGACCTGAGCACAGCAGCACAAGTTCAGTTATAGTAGAAATAGATAAGTGGTACACGGTATACAAGTCCATCTGTATAGTTATACAGATGGACTTGTAGAAATAAAAGGAACTATTACGTACAAGTAAATACAACACTTATTTAAAATTTATAAAATATTTAATAAATTAGATAATAATTAATTTGTTTTGTTTATAAGACAATATGTCATACGTGGTAGAGCCATGCTGCAGCTATATTACTGATATAGTTTTAGCACAAATGGGTCGGCTCGACTGGGGAAGGACCATGCTCTCACAGAATACCAGTGTAAAGTGTAAGTGTGGAGAACTGGAGACCAATTTTACTGGAAACGAGGCATTCCATCTTAGTCCTCAGGGGTGACATCGCATATGCATTTTGATTCTTTATTGAGGATAAATGTCTATGGGCCACAGCATCCTCTTACCATCAGAGGGACTGTGTGCTTGTTTGTCACCCAATGCTATAAAAAAATGTACATCATTCTGTTGTCAAGGCTCAGTTTTAGAAACAAATTGTACGACTCACCCTTTCCCTCGTACTTAATGTCAGTTTATCGGACTAATGACCAAATAATCAATCACTACTCAATTTTAAGATGTTTAAGTCTCGTGGTGTCACAGTAACTTGAAATAAAATGAAAGACACAGCACAAGATTTAACTGCATCTTAAAATTGAGCAGTTATTGAGTATTTCTGCACTATTGTTGTGTTTTGCAAAGTTAAATTATAGAATAAAGGAATCAAACTATACATTTTCCACTGCTGGGCTTAGGTCTACTCTAGTTTCTGAAAGGTATATAGATTAGGAAAGAGCCTTTTGTATTGCTCCAGTGCAAATTAGCAAATACATATTTTTCCTTATGATATTTTCATGGGATTATTACTAAAACCATTGGATTAATTTTTCTGTTTCATTTTGACTGAATTAAATTATGTAATTTAATGTACATACTTATTTAATAGTTTTTCATTATATCTACATTTTTAAATAAACTAGTCTTTAATAGTGGTGATTAGTATGAGGTAAATGACTATGTGAGATAATGATATCTAAAACTAATTAAAGCATAAATAGAACACTACACTCAATGTTGTTGATGAGTATGTTTATCTAGATAAAATTGGCTAGCTAGATTACCAAATTCGACCATGAGGTCAGTCAATTGGTCCAACTCCGCTGTTGAATTCTTGTCGAGTATCTCTAAAAATCTTAAAACAAACTTTACCTCCAATGAGATGTGGTCCTTTACTGCTGGCTATAAAGGAGAGCTTAAAATGTTAAGTTATCAGCCATGTATAGCTATGGAGAGGGTTATGCTCAAGAATTTTAATATATGACATAGTTTCTTATAGTCAAATAGATGTCTTATATTTTAAATAAAAAGAAAGAGAAAAAAATAATTCGAAGACATGTGAAGTTCGTTAACATTGTGCATTGGGGCATCACTGCAGACACTTGCTGTAAAACCCTCTCAGAAATAAAAGGAGCCCTGTGCCCAGCTGTGGGACATACATAGGCTGTTACTGTAACTTTTATGGACGAGGCCTATGTTTAGCAGTGGACTCTAATAGGCTGTAATGATAGCGGTAATGTTACTGACCGATAAACTTCCATCTATAACATAGTATATAAATTTGAATTTGAGTATAATGCTTTATTTTTACTTTACATTTCCGTTTTAGGTATGATGCTGTCTGGTTATATCAGCGCCCTGGGGATTGGAGCTTTGGTATTACCTAATGATGTATCTCACTACATTACAATGATTGAAGGTTTGAATATGTCTCCTGCAACTCTTTTCTTGGCCAAGGTAATAATTGCCGCTCCATTTGGCTACCATTTTGCTAATGGCCTTAGACATTTATACTGGGACACGGCCAAAGGTTTGACTATCAAAGAGGTCTACACCACAGGCTATGTTATGTTAGCCACTGCTGCTGCTATTACGTTATTCCTTGCTGCGTTATAATTATATGGTTCAATGGAAATATGGTAGAAAAACAGAATTGAAACTGTTTTGTATAATATAATTTATTTGTTCTCATAAGTATTAAAATTTTGTAAAATCAGACTTTGTTTTTCATTTTGTATTTTATAAAAACACTACTGACAAGTTACCTAAGTATAATATGAATTGTTGTCGATATAATTTATTTTTATTTTGTTCTCGTTATAAGTATTATAAATTTAATAAAATCAGAACCTGTTTTTTATTTTGTGTTTTATAAGAGACTACACAGTCAAGTAACTTAAGTTGGTTATAAAAGATAAGTTATTTTTAAGTATGACATTTTAGGCGACGCCACATGTGTTGAGCACGTCATGGATATTCTTGAATTTCTCGAAGTCCAATTTTTCGGTAGTCGCCAATCCCCTTGCAGCATTCTGTAAAACAACAGGCTGTTAATGTGGAAATTCATTTAATATGAATTTAAAAGAACGCTGTATTTTTTGTGAATGTAAAATTTGATAGGACTTGTCCTCTCTACACCGTGTAGTGGCAGTAAGAATATCTACTACTCCATATTCCGTGGGTGTCGTAAGAGAAGACAGAGTAAGTTGCGGTTGCCGCCCGCTTGTCAAGCGTGGCGACTACGGCAGATATCCCCCCACGAGGCAATATGTTGGGGAAGCCTATGTTCAGCAGTGGACTTTAATAGGCTGTAATGTAAACGGTATGTTAGGACTTTAGTTGTTAATACTCTAGGGAAAAACTACATATAAAGATATGCAAAACGAAACAAAAGGCGTACTCTTTGCGACACAGCAATTTCTTCCTTAAAGTGACTAAACCTACTGTCCACCTGATGGCAAGTGGCTGTTACAGCCAATGGACATTTGTCTACTTCAAATAAGGAGGCCACAGATGGCTATTTCTGAGGACTAAGACGGAATTCTTCAAGGGCAGTACTTATACTGGCTCTATATCATTCAGACCGAACACAGAAGCGCAAGTGCTGCTGTTTGGAAGCGGAGACAGGTGACGGTGGTTCCTATCCAGATGGTCTTATATCCAGAAAAGGAGTCCTACCATCCAGTATAACTTACAAAAAGAAGTAAAAGGGGTAAAAAAGACTGTAAGGGATAATGTGCACTTAAAAAGAAGGGGAGAGGGAAAGTTACAAGAGACAATGGTGTTCTGTAACCTATTTCTTGACCAAATCTAAGGATTAAGCAAGGAAAAAAATAATTATAAAACGTAAAGTGCAAAATGCATAGGATAAGTTTTTTCTTGCACTTAGTACTGTTATTTATTCTTAACACTCACTGTCCGATATCCAGACACAATAGTAATACAACAGTAGTGAACCGTATGTGGGTCAAATGATTTAGGAAGACAAATTTTGCATTTTCGTAAAACTAGTAATATTATTTACTGAAAGAATTGTTATTTGGTAGAGATGCTATGTGGTTTGGTTGTAGTACGAATGGAGAAGCACCACGTAATACCAAGGTGAAATAGCAGCTTAATTCTGCTGTGTTTTGACCATAGCGACCACTTACCATCAAGTGGACTGTGTGCTTTTTTGACATCCATATTCTATAAAATAAGACTCACTTTGCATAACATATTGTGCTTGTAAAACTGCTAAATGTGGATAACAAATAAGAGAAGATAACTCACATTGAAGAACACGTTGTTGTTCTTGTAGAACTCTCCGTAGATGTTGAAGAGATCAGTACTCGTGTCGAGGAGTTGTGCCAGACTGAGAGGAGCGTGAGCGATCGAGACGTCAGACACGAAGTCCTTAGCGGACAGCCAACTTCGCGACGGCGCCATTGCGACATTGCAGGTGACGAAATTAGCTAGTGTATCGCGTCCGCCAGATTCACGGTTCAGGCAAAGTAGCTCGTACTGCGTCGCGTCGAATTTCGATAAGTCCGCGCCTGAAAGTTTTACATTTCAAAAAGATATGTCATTAGTTAGGGTAGAGATACGCTGCAGCAAATTATGACAGTAGCACTAATGGGTCAGTTCGAGAAAGAAACACGCACGGTCAGATCAGCCGGCGGGAAATAGCAGCATTGTGCTGCTTTGTTGCGTATGGTGAAAAATATATTCGTTTAATTATTTATGGTAAAGTCACGCTGCAGCAACGAATGGGTCGACTCGATCGGGGAAGAAACCTTAGACCAGGTGGCGTGAAATAGCACCATTATGCTGTTTTGTTTCGAATGGTGGAGGCGTTAACGGTAAGTTTTATACGTGGTAGAGCCACGCCGCAGCTATAATACTTAGTTGAAGAACGAATGGGCCGGCTCGACGAGGGCAGGACCACGCTCTCACAGAATAACAGCGTAAAACTACAAACTAAAAGTTTTGATAAAATCCAAAAGAGTACTTCTAAATCGGGGTTAAGTTCTTAGTTTGATTTTGTTAGTTTGGTTGAAGTCAACTTTTGTACTATACTCCCTAAATTATTATTTTAATACTTTTAAACTTTTGAATTTTTTGAATGAACTAGGGAATGTAAAAAACAAGGTAACAACTAGAATTTCTTTTAAATGGTTACATTTAAAAACTTCATGGGTACCCTACAATTACCTTAGCTTAGCTTAACGCTGTTGTGTTTCGTATGATAAGTGTAGAGGACCGGAGACCTTTTTTATTTGATTCGAGGCATTCCATCTTAGTTCTCAGGGGTGACAACGCATCTGCATTTTGACCCTTAATTGAAGATAATTGTGGATGTCTATGGGCCACAGCATCCACTTACCATCAGGTGGACTGTGTGCTCGTTTGTCACCTAATGCTAAAAAAAAGTACTGCAGCCCATAGACACCTCCTCTCACAATCAGTAATGATACTGGCCCGCTATATACTTCAGATCGGATCGCAGCAGTGCAAGTACTGCCATATGGCGGCAGAAATAACAGGGTGGTATCTAGCCAGACCAACTCCTAGGCCTGGGGTGGCGAACCCTATATGTATCAACGTGCCATTTTTCTAAAGAAATGTTTAATTAGGCAATAGACGTGCCGTAAAATAATATTGACTTTGCGATTACTGTGAAAATAATAGTACTAGATACTATAAACTCAAAACTCTATTAAAATTATTAAAATATATTTTGCAATGTCTAATAATAAATGTTTCGATTATACGCGTAGTTCAAATTAAAGTAACATTAGTGTGACTTCTGTTGTTGCAGATTTAATTACAAATAACCTATATTGGGGGTTGTAAAATCGTAAATATAACACAAATGAATTTTTAAATACAGTTACGACTATGTACTCCTATGACGAACTATTCCTACGACGAACTATGCATTCCTCGGGGGAGGCGTAGACCTGTGAAGAGCTGTAATGATGATGATGACGATGAAATGATCTATGAGTCATTAGCAATAGTAGTCCACAATGTAACTAGGATCACTCGCGTTCGCTCGTAATGTAATACTTCATAGTGAAATTTGAGCACCAATGGCACACGTGCCATCGATGGCACGTGTGCCATTGGTTCGCCATCCCTGTCCTAGGCAAAAAAGATCAGCAAGGGTAACAACGCATGTGCAGTTTCATTATATCGAGGATCGCTGTAGACATCTCAAACCATCATTGGACGATGTGCTCATTTGTCAATCTTTGTTTAAATTTACTGCGCAGTGTGCTGCGACACGTTGTACTTTGACATATAGGGCATGAGGGACTAAGGTAGAAAACCAAGTGCAACCAGGGATTGAAAACCGTTTTAAAATTTCGTTACGTTTTGTTTGTAAAAAAGTTTATTCTTAATACTCTGTTTGGTTCGATTTTAGTTTCGGTTAAAGTTAAGGTATCGACCATGCAATAAAACAATTTGAACAAGGTAGAGTCGTTCGTGTGCCGGTGAAATAAGGGTGTTTAACTGAAGAGAACGAGCACACTTACAGAATACCGTAAAATAGCAGCTCAATGCTGCTATTTTTCGTGTGGTGAGTGTAGAGAACCGGAGACCCTTTTTACAGGAAACGACGTATTTCATCTTAGTCTTCCTCGGGGGTCGCATCTAAATATTAATTATTAACCGAGTACAGATATAGTTATCTATAATTATCTATAGGCCACAGCATACACTTATCATCAGATAGACTGCTCGTTTGTCACCCTCATGTCTATAAAAATATATAGGAGATGAATAGAACCAAATATTTATTTTCTGCTTGAACAATCTTTCAATATGCAGCGCCGTAGCCAAACGTGCACAGCGCTAACTAAATTATAAAGTCGTGTTTATTTTATAACAGAAGTTAATATATCATAACTTCATCAAAACTTGAACTCGACGGGATGACGATATAATATAAAAAAAATACAGACTTATTGAATTTAAGAATGACACTAAATATTATATGGGTGTGCACGCAACCGATAGCGTCAGCTGTCCTTTTTGTTTTTCATCTTTTTCTTTTTAACATGTTTTCATGTATGTCTGTGTTCGGGTCAAATACATAGTTTAATAATGAGTAATGGATTTTAAACTAACTTCTCAATGAACTAGATACTTGAAATTTTACAAAATCGGATGAAAATGTAAAAATATGGAATAAAACGTGGTAAAATATTACATAATTTTTAAAATTTAACTTTTTTTTACGTATTTTCGTTGGAGTGTAGTTTCATTCCATCCAGTATCTGTTAGTAAAAACGATCTTGCAGTCATAAGTAGTAAAAATATGGTTAAAACTTACTCGAAACGAATGCGACGTCACCGTTATTTTGCAGACACTGCAGCGCACTGCCATCTCCAGAGCATCGCTTCTTCAAATTCGAGAAGTCTTCACCTGGGGAACATTCGCATTAAGATACATTATTTATTCTTTTGTTACTTTTTAAAATTCTTTTTAGCTATAAGTATATACCTTAAAATGTACGGGGAGTTCGATTTGGGTCGATATCAAAGTAATTGTTAATTGTGAAAAGGTGCTGATTTACCACATGCTCGGCGATGAATGATAACATCGTGAGGTAACCGGCTTGTATAAG